TATATTAATATAATATTATACTTAAATATCTGATTAAAAAGGGAAAACAGTCTACAGACCAAGCGAAACCGAAAAAAGACACGCGGCAGCTATAAACTAACGCCTGATAGTGTCGCCTTTTAGATTCATCTCCGCTTGGCACGACTCCTTGTGCCTCTAACCCCTGCAAGAACTACGCCACCTGTTTCGACATCACCAATGGCTATTCTTGTCGTTGCCAAAGTGGATTTCATGGCGAAAACTGCGAAAAAGGTGAGCTCTTAACTCTTGTACAAGGCAATCTTTGCCAAAAACCTCTCCAAGAAAGGTAAAATCAATTTTTAACCATATATCAGAAGCGTGTTCCAGGCGCCCAATACGTAAAACGACACGCGAAAGTAAACGACACGCGAAAGTAAACGACACGAGAGTAGCGGAAGAGCAAAAGATGAACGCGAATGCCTGCGGATCCAAGCCTCTCTCCTTTTTCGCTCCACTGTTACTACCACGCCGTTTAGTTTTGCGCTCCGTTTTACTTATTGAACGCTTAGAACAGACTTAAGACAGAGACGTTCGCAGCTGAAGTCCAGATAAAGATCATAGGATTTGATTACGATTGATAAGTATCCTGTCCAGTAGAAGCGGTAATGTTCCCAGTCTCCTCATGGTCCTCATGCTACTGAGAACGAGACTTAGTGCCTTTTCGATGACAGCTCCTTTCTTGAACGCGTTGATAAGTGCTTTATTTTATGCAGCAGAAAGTTGCCTGGCCTTGAAACTGACGAATAACCACTCAGACGGCTTGCAACAAATTCATCTGGAAAGCATTGGTTGGGTTCCAGTGCTCTGCGACCAACAAACGAACGGCGGAGGTTGGACAGTCCTGCAAAGACGCACACGTCCTTTTGTGAGGGTCAATTTCGACAGAAATTGGACTGACTACGAAGCTGGCTTTGGGAATAATCAAGAAGGTAATTTTTGGCTCGGTAACAAAATGATCCACATGCTTATGAAAACACCTCGGTTTCTTCGAATTGAGCTGAGGACAGACAGAAATGAAAATGGCTTTGCTGAGTACAGTGACGTTAAAGTGAATGGTGTGGCTAATAAATACCGTCTTCAAATGGCATCTCCAAATGGCTACCGAGGGTCTATCGGAGACTGTGGTGGTTCTTCTTCATGGCAGTATTTCACAACAAAGGACTCGGATAATGACAAACAGTTTAACATCAATTGTGCTGTGAAAGATGGTGCTGGCTGGTGGTACAAGAATTGTGGATGTGGAAACCTCAATAAAAAAGAGGGACCGAAGTGGAATTCCTGGACCCCACCAGGCAATTTCGAGTTCAGCGAGATGAAGATACGTTGAACAGTTAGGATCAGTATAACATGTTGATAGTTGCTGAACAAGAACTCAGTTAACTAAGTTCATGGTAGCAAAGTACCTGCATACTGGTAGATAGGAAAGTTGATATGTAATGCTTCTGCGCAATGATGTCAATCCACATAGATGGTAAAGATACATGGCTTCAAAATTACTGTCATACTGAGTTTATTAATCCTTGACTTCAAAAGCTTCAATCTGTGATACTTCGTTACTTTTTCAAAATGAACCCCTAAAAAAGTGTCTGTAAAAGGTAGTTATTTGCAGCTAGACAATTATTTCTTACCTTAACATCAGATCCAGAACATGCAAAAGTAAATGAATCTGAGGGCTATAAGATGGGATTCATTCAATGGGAAAACCTCAGTTAAAGGCACGAATTGATTCTAACTCAGTCACACCTTGCTTCAAAGGACACTAACATGTCGCATAATCTGCAGTTCCACACGACACATCTTAACTCACTTAAGCCTTTAACTCCCAGAAGTGATTAACATGAAACTTCTTCCTACAATATCCATACATTATTCAGCAAACAGGTAACGAGAATATTCAAACTTATCAGGCAGAAGCTGCTATCTTGATCTAGCACCAAGTTCTCATCACTAATTTGCTGAAGGAGTGAATTAACAATCAGATCTTGGGAGTTAAAGGGTTAAGAGAATATTGCACAATACAATCAACAAAAATTACGATGTTTCTAAGCTTCATTGTCTCCACCAGAAAGTTTAATTGGAGGTTGTATTTGTACTTTGAATGCAAAGATAGATGGTTGACTGTGCTGCAACAGTATATTATTTATATCTATGTTCTCAATAAAGCGTTCAACTGTGTCAGTGCGTGCTATATACGATTTTAAAAAAATTATGGTGACTCGTACGGTTTGACCTCTGACAAAAAACGTCATTCATGACTATAATTCCTAAATCGCGAAATGCGAAAGCAGTCTATGTTATTCTTGTACTTGTGCTTAAACTTTTTCGGGGCAATGCCACATTTTTCTGAGGAATTCTTCGCGTCACAACAGATTGCCTTTCGACAGAGGTCTCTCTAGGCTCGTTTTGTGAGGCAGATAAAAACATACATTAAGAGAGAGCGTGCCGGGTTAAGGAACAAAAATTGAATGATGAACTTGTTAAACTTAGGATGAATTCTTCAAACTGTGACACTGCCTCTTTAAGGAGAAATGGCACAAGGACTCATGTAAGGTTTCAAACTGCAAAAGCATTTTATCCCTTCCCCATCCACTCAATCAGGAGTCTCGTGACTTTTTACACCAAAGTAAACAAAAGTTAAAACTGGCATGAAAAATTATACGGAGACGTTCTAACTAAGATACTACACATCCAGACGAATTGTTAGCCGGTTTTACAGGACTTGAATCTTCGGGCTCTGGAACTGGTTTCACATCACCTGACGCAGCTTGGGAAGCCTGTGCAAATTATAGTAATCAGGCACTCAAAGTGAGTATCTTGGAAATGAGACTTCGTCATATTCAAGATAGTATTTAAGTATTTGCTGTGCTATCGGGAAAACGTTATACTCTAACAGACTAGCAGAATGTTATTTGACAAAGATCACAAAGACAAAATAGCCAAAACGACGAGGAGGGGACTCTCCTTATTGAAGATTGCTCGTTCTGCATTACACTGCAATGGAATATAGATCTTGGTTTAAGCACCCTCTCAAGCACCATCCCGTCATGCATTGTTGTAGCCCGTCCCAGGCTCTCAGTCGATGGACGCGAGCAAAATAGCTGGCTATAGAAAAACAGCGGTTGCGCTTTGTCTAACCCGCTTTTCGCGCGCTCTCCGTTAGTTTTCACTCACTAAGGTCAAAATTGCACAGGCTACCGTTGTTGAAAACGTTACTGTGGCTATACTTTAGAGAACTACGCAAAAATATTCTTATTTTATCACAGTAAATAGTCTGAACTTGAGGGCAATATTTGATCGTTTAATCCGATCGTCCGGGTGAGGGTATTCCAAAGAAGGACTGTTTTTGGTAGTACTGACTGATTGGCGACATATTACAGAAACAAACCAACAAATAAAAACAACAACAACAGCAACTTACCGGAGGAGGGTGAGCTTTGGACGCGTCAAATCCAGCATAAGTATCCCCTGACCATAAGGCGTGCGGAGCGGGCAGGGTGAACTCTTGAGGACTTGCTAAGCCATGAGTTGCCTTCAGTTCAAGTTCGGGTGGCTCGGGAGGGACTTTGTGGAAATAACTAAACAAAGACACAGCAGGTTAATTAACATTATTATAAGCGGTACAGAGTTTAGAGAGAAGTAGGGGTAGTACTGTGGAAGAATTCTCCCTAACAGTTTCCCAGATGGAGAGAAGCAGTGTGAAATTAAAGCCTCTCGCCTAACAACTCCCGTCCGCGGCTGGAGCTCAGACCTCTCGATCCAGAGTGCATCGTCCCGACAAAATACGCCAGTGCCTTCTAAGCTACTCTATCATAAGAAAACCTCTTTAATAGGTGCTGTGAATAAGCAAAATACTCTAATCTTGTTTGAAGTACTGGCCACAGTTGTTCGAAGGCCGATTGCCGCTAACCCAGGGTTAGATTTTATTCCGGGTTTCGTTATTTCTCTGTTAATAAGCTTTTTTGGATAATTTCCTCTATTCTTTTTAGAGCATCCAATAATCAAATTGAAGACAACTTGAAAAATAATAAAAATGACTTTCATTTTGCAGCTTTCAGATCTGAAATCAAATTTCACACCATCTCGACCCAGCATTGATCAAACCGGCCCTGAATATGGGTAACCGCACTTTGAAACAGTGATGTCCTTACATGAATCCATTCTCATGGTTGGCTTTCTCCAGCTTCTTTCGTATGATGGGACCAAGTTTTAGGAAAAATGGATGTTGCCATGGTCTAGCTGTTGTGCCGGGCCCTCTAGTACTGGAGTACTCGTGGGAAATTGCTTCAGCCTTCTTGTACACTGAAGTTAAAAAAAGGTTCCTTTAAATTCACTTTGAACACTATCATCTTTACCACCATCTTTTAGTTAAGACTGGTCTCCTAAGACTGCCAGTCGGAAAGAGTGACAGTCAGTCTGTCTGACTGCCTATTGGATAGGTGAATCTGTTTCTTTTTAAACGAAAGTAAGAGTTTGACACAAAAGATAACAATGGCTTTACATTTATCACTTTCTTGTAGAGCTCGAATGGCTTTTCCACACTGATCTTCAGCAAGAAGTGTTTCCCCACAAAAGCAGTAAGCCTACAGGGAACAGGAAGCATGAAAATGTGATGAACAACTTGCTGGAAACTTTTACTAAAAGCTCAAGATTCCTCGTAAAGAATCTTATTCTGCGTACATTATCTCCAAACAAAATTGTTTGGAGATAATAAACACACATGTATCCAGAAAAAAAGTGGATCATGTAAATCAAAAAAGTTGAAGAAGAGGATTGGATATGTTTGAAAGGAAGCAAGAAGATTAAAAGTTGCTGGTAAAATAAAAAGAAATCTCCCCGTGCATGCTTAGAATGTATTGTGCTTGATCAGGATCCTATCATAATTCAAGTAGTTACTTCAGCCCAAGGATCTGCCCCTTACCATCACATATATTTTACGTTGATAGCAAGCTGAGCAATGGGCCATTTCTGAATTACCTTTAGCCTCTTTACCAAAATGAGGCCTGGTGCTGAACCATTTGTATGAAAACGAGTTTTATCTGCACGTGAATGAAAACATATTATCATATGGAAGGATGAATACCAGGACTCACTTTGAAAAAGAGGTTAAAGGCAATTCGTAAATGGAAAACAAATGCCACAAAATATAATTTGTGAAGACAACTACACCCCCTACCATCAACTTTCCAACCCACTGTGAATTTGATACCTAATAATTGATGACATTTTAACTTACATAGGACTGATAAAATGCAGCTTTCAAATCAAGGTATTTCTTCCATTTACCAGCTTTAGTTGGCTCCACTGATTTCAGAGAATCACCTTTAATAAATAAATATTTAGTAATAAATAGCTTTAGCTAAAGGCTGGAATTACTGTCTAAAAGAACAATTGTGATAATGAATATGGAAATGACACTAATAATGACCCTGTTAAATATTTACAAATAACTCATTATTAAAAAATTACCAACAGTAAGGGTATCACATGTTGACAACCACTTTGAACAAAGGGTTTGCTGTTAAATAACAAGAGAAGGGTTGGGGTGCAGTGCTGGAGGGTGGGGTGGGACAGAGTTTATGAATTGCAATTTTTCTAAAGTTGAACCAAGGTCATAGAAATAATTATAATTTGAGATACAAAAAACATACTTGCTGCTGTAAACAGTTTTGACGTCTCATTGGTAAGTGCAGAGATGAGAGAAGCTTTATGTTTGAGCTCCACTGCTCGTGCCACAGTAACTAAAGAGAAAGTATAAGTAACAGCTTTAGTTGTTGCCTTCAAACTACATGTTGTTTGTTCTGTTCTTTTTTTACATTCAAGGATTATTGTGATAATGTACTAAGAGAAAAGTAGAAAACACATCAATTTCAATTTAGTTTAAATTAGAATGAGTGGAAATTCATTTTGAACCATACATACAGTGAAGTCTTTTAACTTCAGAAAACAAAATTAAACCAAACCAAAAAGTGAGCAAACAAACAACAGCTTGACCCAAAGACATTTGCAATGTAACAAGGTCAAATGTGAAAGGTCAAAATACTCATAGCACATGATCACAAAGTACATGTATGCAATTGTGCATGTGGAATTATTTGCGAAAACTACATATATATACTGCTCGATTGAGATACAGGATTTAAAAGTTTATTAATCCCTCTTCCCCTTGTAAAGTACTTGATTAAAGGGGAAGAGAAAGAACAGAAAAGAAAAAAGGATATCCTAAACACACCTGTTTAACAACATTTACAACTTGAAAGTGGTAGATGTTCCACAAACACATTTTATCAGCTCAGCCATTGGCTGCAGTATTATGTTCTCTGGTTTGTCTTACTATCACTTTCGGTAATACTTACCTTCTTGTGCTTCAGCGACACACTGCATCTGATAAGCCTCCAACACTCGCTGATCAGTATCAGCACCTTTCTCAGCTGATAGGTCACCAAGGCGTGGCATCAGACTTTCCTGCAGACAAAAGAATTAGCCAAAAATATCCCAACTTCATACCTCCAGTAGTTTGGGAGAGAAAGGGATATCCAAAGTGTATCATATTTAGTCTAAATACCTTGACAAACTTAAACATTCCTCCTGCAGCTCTAAGGCATGTGTGGACTTCCTTTGCTTCATCCATGGTTACCCTGATAATATTCATTTCATAAATTAATTCTTTCATCTTGGAAGTGCAATAAACTTCAAATATCAAAAAGACATGCAACAATCAAGTCACTAAGGACAAAGTAGAACAAATAAAAATGGAGTAAAATTCTCTATTTCATCATGAATATGTGTGGTGCCCATGCCAAATTCATGACAAACTCATTTGAAAAGTAGTCATATCATCAGTTGTCACCTTAAAAATTTAATAATAATTTCTTTATTATATATTACAAAGATTTAGAATAATTATTCTAATGTTTAATATCATCAAACTTACTCTCCCTTGGCAGCCAGTTTTGCTGCATACTTTGTATACCAGATGGCAACATTCAAGCAGACAGATGTTAACTCAAACACACTGTCAGCTGAACAACTGAGGAAAA